AAAAGAAATATAAAGCAGAAAAAATATATATATGAAAAGATAATTTGAAAAAAAAACTTCTTTGGAGTCCAATGAAAAAATGTTATCATTTCAAAAAGTAATAATAAAAAAAAAATAACAATGTTGCCAAGTCTAAATAAAATAGACTTATGGGTAATTGTCAGTCATATAATTATGTAACCTTGGCCATCTCCTTCTTCTTCTTATTGCGTGGCGGGGTTACTGGTCGTCCTGCCTGCATTCCACCATAAGCATACTTCTGTTTCTTTTCAGCTGGTTTGAGGATCTTTAAAATAATATATATTGTTAAATGATGATTTCATTCGTATGTTTCTTGACCAGATTTTCATTTTACCTGAAACGAACACATGAGAGTTTCGTCTACACTCATCATCGCACCAGCATTATCAAATTCACCACAATAGTTTGGCGCCGAGAACAATGTAACTAACTGTCGCTTGGCAAAGAATTCGTATCCATCCTCCACCGCTTGATGTGCTCTACATATCAAATCCATATCATGCTTTTGTAAGAACCGACTAACAACATCTGGGCCAAATGTAAAAGATACACCACGATCATTTTCGCTCCAACCGGAAATATCTTTATCAGGATCAGACCACAATAAATCGCATAATAGACCTGATTAAAGTTAAATTTTTCCACCAAACGTTAATAAAAATAATAATTGTGTTACACTAATCTAACAAAAAATGTAATAAATGTGTTAAAAACATTTTACCAGTGTCTGGAACGTCTGTGGGTCGCATAACTCTTCTAATTTGTTCCATACTTTGAAGATCAGGTGATAAACCACCATGCATAGTGAAAATCTTTTCGTCAATAATTGCGGCAATTGGTAAGCAATTGAAACAATCCGTAAAAGTTTTCCACAATTTGATATTGTATCTTCGCTTGCCTAAATTTCGTTAAATTTTAAAACAAATTTTATACCAGATAAGGCTTGGACTAAAAAAAAGGTCTTTACTTACATTCATCATAAAAACCATAAATACGATTGATGCTCGCGCATTCATGGTTACCACGCAGAATGAAAAAATTTTCCGGGTATTTTATTTTGTAAGCCAACAAAAGACAAATGGTTTCTAACGATTGCTTTCCCCTATCAACATAGTCACCAAGAAAAAGGTAATTTGCTTCAGGAGGGAACCCACCATATTCAAATAATCTTAAAAGATCATAATATTGACCATGTATATCACCTAAGAATAAAAATAATGATAGTAGTAATAAAAAAAAAAGAGAAAAAGGTTTGGTCCAATTGAATCTCTATAAATATAATAACCAAAAATACAAAAACAAAGATTTAAATTTTCTCACCGCAAATTTTTATTGGAGCTTCAAGTTCGAGAAGTATAGGTTGAGAAATAAAGATTTCCCTCGCTTTTGTACAAAGATATTTGATTTCAAACTCTGCAAGCTGCACTTGCTTACCAGGTCGACACCCTCTTACTAAAAATTTTAAACCAAATTTTAGCAATAATTTTTTCTCTCATTCAACACAATGAAAGTTTTTTATTGACAAATAGATTGTTGTCATATCTAAAACGCATTCAATATCCAAACCAAAGTTCCAAGCGAAATAATATAATACCTTCCAACAGTCTGTCAATGACGGAGTCAATATCTATTTCAAGAGAATCACTCATGTTCCTTTAAGCTCTTATTTAGAGCTATGAAAGCTTTAATAATGAAGGAGTTTGTTTGTACGACGCCTTGACACAAACGATACAATAATTAGAGGCACTGAAAACCAAAAGTATAAAGATCGAGTGCAAAAACACGTTAGCAAAGAGTTTTGATGAAGGTATGTACAATCAATTCCTATTTAGTTGAGCTGCCAGATGAAAGAGTTGTTAATGGAAACTGCAACGACAAGGTTCACACCCAGTATTTGTGACTGGGCTGTGTACAGGCATCCAGCATAGTATATAAAGGTGGGAGGAAGTTATGGGTAACAAACTTTTTTTATATTGTTTTCAAAATTAACTTCCTGTTTTTCATATTTTCTTTATCAAATTAATACATACAAATAGGTGGCGAGACAGGGAGCGAAATGGTCGGGCAGAGAGAATGCGTTTTAGTGTGGGGTAGGAAGATGATGGATAGGTTGGTTGGCCTGAGTTGGATGAGTAAGCAAAAGGGTAGAAAGTTAGGTCTGGATTGGACTGCTTTTTGAGCGAGGAAAACTCTATGGTGCTGATTGCCCAAAACAGAATTTTGGTGACATGGTGATGCCTTGATGCATCATTCATATTGGTTACAACAATCTTTAATAGATAACCAATCTCCCTTAATCGTTTCCAATTTTCAAGTTGATTTTTAAAGATAACGTTTTTTTTTTTTTTTGTTTTTTTTTAAAAAAAAAAAAAAATACATGATATTATAATAAAAATGATGTTAAGGATACCCCATTTATTATATGATTTAGGTTTACAAAGTTCGGATCATTCCCAATGCAAAAGTTTATTTAAATGGTTTGTTTTTAATTAGGTAAAGAAATGCTGAAATTGGTCCTTTAAAAGGTTATGTTAGAAATATTCATCAGGTTTAAAACAGGTAATCTAAATCCATCAGTTTCATCCGGACGTTACATCAAAATAATAAATTAGGGTCATATTACATTTCATTTTCTTTTCAGCGTGTATCCTCTACACGTTTTCTTTTCGTTACCATTCTCGATTTCTTATTCTCTTTACTTCTACAACGGTTTCTTTCTTTTCTCGTCGCGTCGTTTTTCGCTCCGTCTAATTACAATAGGTGAAGTTTATTTAAATAAGCGCGCGTAGAAAACGGGATATTTATTAAAAAAAGGTTTGAACATTAAGTAAATTTGTATATTCGATTTGGAAAATCAAGCGAGTTTATTATAATTATTTACAATCATTGTCATTGCAATTTATTATCACAGTATTTTAGAATAATTTCTCTTCATTTTAACGGATTCACTCGAATAAAAAAAAATTAGTCATAAAGCATACTTCTATTCTAAATTTTCATTATGAATATCGACATTTGGATGTATAGCCAACACTGTCCGACTTGATTGTTCATCAATAGGTAAATCTACATCATCCAATTCCTCGGGATCCATTTCATCATCCGCAAATGCGGTCTGGCCAATTGGTAACAACCACTCATCCTAATTTTATTATTAATGATGAATCAAAAAATTAGTCAATCCATATTATAATTAAATATACGTATATTAATTAGCAACAGTTACCTTGATTAATTGTTTCACCACTTTCTTAAATTTTGTCTCTTTCGTTGAGAATGATTCCACAGTCAATTCACTTTCATGTTCTTCCATACACCATTGGATTAATTCGCCTTCTTCGCATGCTGGTTTAAGTAAAATCAAAAATACATTAATATTGTACAAAGTTGAAATTGATAAAAATTAGTCAAACTTACATCCTTTCACTTTTAATCTAGATATGATTTTGTCTCTGATCTTTGTAAATTCTTCAAAAGTGATGCTATTTTCAGATCTACTCGGACGTTGCGGAGTCGCTTGATTCGAATTCGAATCACCATCGTTATCTACTTCCATTGTATCATCATTTTCCGGATTTACATCGTCATTATCCATTTGGTCATTTACTTCTTCTTCATCCTCATCTAACAACAAATCATCATGATAGACATGAATTATGGATTGCTGCAAAAGGTTACATGCTTCATTTACATATTCCGGTATTATCTATAAATAAAACAATTAGTTTAATTACATAATTTTTAAATAAAGACAAAATCATTGGAATGCCTCAAACTCACCTCATTATTACAATGAGCTTTTGCAATGGCTTCAGACAAACGTATCATGCTTTCAAGTTGGCGAACTGTAATGCGATAAGAATTTCTCCCAGCACCGATCGCATCATCTTGTCGAAGGTCTCTATATTTTTCGGAAAATAATTTTGCAGCCGCTGAACTGATCTTTTAATTTTTAAGTTTAATATACTTGGTTAATTATAGATAAATGTATTTTTTTGCTGCAAGATGCTCTCTCTATCTATATATACCTTTGGTTTGAAAGTTCTCGCGTAACGGATATATCTCTGAAGTTTTGCGGTATCGAAGTGTGGATTAATATTATCATCTCCATGTCGATGAGTTCCAACTATATAATTCGCAATCATCTTGTCTATATCTGGTTTACACTCGTCAAGTACAACAAAGAATAAATCAAATCTAGACATGATAGGGGCTGACATAGCAATATTTCGCTAAAAAAAAAAAAAAAAAAAAAAAATTTAAAAAAAATTTTTTTCAATATAAATTTTATTTGTTATTTCGCATTTATACTTTATCAATACGTACTCTAAGTGTTAATTTTCTATTGTAACGTCCATCCCTGGGATTCGCAGCTGCCAAGATAGAAGTCCGAGCGTTCAATGTTGCATGGATACCAGCTTTGGCAATGGTGATTGTTTGTTGTTCCATTGCCTCATGGATAGCAACCTGATCAGGTATATCCATCTTATCGAATTCATCGATTGCGCATATCCCCTGTTTAAGTTAAAGTCATTTTAAGTCTCAAATGCTCGCAAAAGATACTTCATAATTGTTAATTATTTCTGTTAATTACATTATCTGCCAACATTAGAGCACCAGCCTCTATGGTAAAATCACCGGATTCTTCATCTTTAACAACGGCTGCAGTCAAACCGGCAGCGGAAGCAGATTTGCCGGATGTAAACACTGAACGAGGATTCATCACACAGGCATATCTAAACAATATAGGACAATGAATGAGCAGAATAGTAAAAATAAATAAAATAATATACATTCAATAAATAATACTTACTTGAGGAATTGGCTTTTACTGGTGCTAGGATCGCCAACAATACACACGTTAATATCTCCTCTTAATTTAATTCCTTCCGGAGTAATTTTGTGAACACCACCCAAAAGTTGAAGTAGTATCCCTTTTTTTACGATTTCGTGCCCTAAGACATAAATAAATTTAAATTTCCTCTTCAATTAATGTAGTTAAATAAGAAAGAATAAAGGAATTGACTACCAACCAAAAACTGATGGAGCTATACTCTTAACAAGTTTTTCAAAGATATTTTCATCTCTGCTCATATAAATCAACTCGTTTTTTTTCATCATCCGTAAGCAATGAAATAAATGTTTTTTGATCTTCATCAACAGTCTCATATTCCAGACTCCCAAGCGTCTTACCGAGCTATAAATTGCAAGATTAATTATAACCAATCGGCAAAAGGTTACGAAAATGGACCCATTTGTTAAAACTGTTTTTTTTTTGTTATATATAATGAGATTATTAATTTCTTAAAAATTCTCTATTTTTTTTTTTGTTTACCTTGACATTTTCGGTATGTACAGTACATGCCATGAAAGATATTTTATACGACAAGTCTCTAGCACCAAGAGCTTTTAATCCGGTAACTCCTTCGCGAGATAACCCATCAGCAAAAGTACGATTGCTACGATTATCACGTGATACTTCCGCACCAGTGCCTGGAATACCAAGTTGATTGATATCCGGGATAACAAGAGGAGTACCCACGAATATACATTTATTACCGGGCTTTGCCTTTTCAACCATTTCTTGTCGAACAATCACTTCAAGGCTTGATAAATTTTACATTGGTCAAACGTAAGTAACTTTATTAGAATAGAATAGATAATCAAGCATTCTTTCATAACTCACGTTCGAGGCATGCTTCCCGTTGGTATTTCATTGGGATTTTCTTGTATGCGAATTCGTTGCCAATCTGTAAAAACGGAATGATCGCTATCAAGAACCCACGCAGTACGATTGTTACAGGTAGGAGTTTGACACATGGGAGGCTATAAGAGAAATTCACGCTCAATAATCGTAATAAATACACTTGAATCAGTCATGGAAAAGAACCCATATAAACACCTCAGTATATCTGAATTGTTGTTCCACGTTAGGAACATCAACTTTACATTCCTGACAAGCAAACTTTCCGAAAAGCAATTCTGGTCGTACTTCACTAGTTCTTGTTACAGTACCGCTAATACTCATTAGACATCCTATTCTTTCAGTCTTTATCTCCCGGATGCGATGTATGGTTGGCATGTCATGAAAAGCTACTAAATAATCAAGAGCGTAAGACCTTTCTAAACTTTCCCTTGCTGCTTCACCTTCATCCATTTTTTTTCGTTTTTTATTAACTGTCCTGAGGAAGACGTCATCATCTTGATCCGCGTCAAGATCATTTTCATTTTTATTATTTGAGATTTTATCTTCGTTCGGAAAATACTTATCGACAAGGATTTCAACTGCTTTACGAAGATAAGGTTCAATCCTTAAAGAAAACAAAGGTTCATAAGTATAATTACGAAATAAATATCTGAGATTTATAAAATATAAATACCTATAGTATTGATATAATATCGCTTGCCATAATGTTTGGGTATCTTCCCAATGAAAAATATCACTAAAATTCACATATAATACGTGTCTGTCTTCATGAACCATATCTTCCAATTGTTTAAGGTATGGTCTAAATTCTAGTATTTCATTTTTACTCTCGAAGCTACAATAACAGATTTACATTTTAGTTTTACATAATAAACGTTCGCGTTTTTCTGAGGATATGAACATACTTTTCGATAAATTCGATAAACAAATATCCAAACTCTGACGCAAATTCATCTTTTGCTTTTTGTATTCCTTCAAATATCTTTTTTTGTCTGGGAACGCCTTTTTTTACGACTTCCTCAGCTTCGCCGCTTCTATCAACATCCATTATTTTGAAGAGAGAGAATAGGTAGTAAAAGAAAAATACGTAAAAATTTTAGACAAAATATAAAAAATGAAGCGCGTATTAACAGTATGATAAATTCCATTGCCTATCAATCACTATTCAATAAACGTGTCGGACTCTCAAAAATAGCAAATTAACAGGATGTTAATCAAACAAATCAGGTTTTCAATTACGATAATAGGATTACATGATTTTATCATTTTTTTTTTTTTAACGGTTGAGGCACAGCTAATCGATTGATCTTTCCATGATCTCATCATTTGTTTATTTAACATCCATCAGATTTTTTGATCTGCAAAAGTTTAGATGATCTCCACGGAAATCCAAAAACAGTTACCAAAGCCCTTTGATTTTCAAGCAGATGATTTTTTATGGGCCGACCAAAAAAAAAAAGGTCAAAGTTGACCTTTAAATTTCGCTCTCAATAAAGCTTACTTCCGACCTGTTGATGATTTTTTATCTAGCAACAACGTGAGAACAAAACGTATGAAATGGCTTACGCTCAGGGTTTCAACGCCAGCGGTCAATTTCTGGAAGAGACTTCTGCAATTGAACAGGGCATTCACAAAGCTGTGATTAATATTGATCGTATTCAATCGCTGCAATCTCATATTTTAGTTAGCACCTCAACTGAAAAAGAAGGTTCATATGGAGAGGAACGTGAGACACTCATGACTGAAACAAAAAATCTACTGCTTGAGCTTAAGGACCTA